TTAGTAAAAAATTTTCCTAATATCCAACCTAAACTTCCCCTGGCACAACCTGAGACCATTTCCTCTTGTCCTATTGCCTGTATTGCTTGTCTTCACATTGCAGTACAGCTTGCACATTACTTGTATTCTAGAAATACTACAGATGAAATAATTAGATAAGCAGGTCTGCTATGCTAAGCAAACAGCACTGATACACTCTTCAGCTTCCCACAGGTCCTAGCATCCCTAGGTAGGGTCTTAAACTATACCATAATGGTAAGCCACCTTGCACTCCATGCTTGTTCACTTCAACTTCAGAGGGCTCTGCTGCCCTCTGCTCTTCTCTTCCCCTATGAATCCTCTTGCATCTTCCAGCTGTTGCTGTGCCCATTCCAATGCTGTGTGCCATTCAGACTCCCTTCCCCAGAGTCCTTCAGCCAACCTCAAAATTGCCATGAAACAGCACTACGTACTCATAACAAGCAGAAAGTAGAAGTTAAGATGATACTAAGTGTTCCATACTGGGCTGTTTGGCAATCACACAAAGACACAGCCTCTGCCACAGTTCAGTCTCTTCAGCCTTTGAATTCTGCCTGATCAACAGCATGTGACACAAGTTTATATATGATACTGCAGCTAGTATGAAGACTCTCACAAGATTTTCCAGCAACACGCGTCTCCACATACCCAACCAGCTTGTTTTGCTGTGCATATTATTTCCACCCACACCTACAACATGGCGCTCTCTCTCCAACATCTTTTCGTAGCTGATTTACCAGTAAATTAAATTTACCTAAATGAATTTAAAGAATAACATGCACCCTCAGCTCTCTGCAGCAGATCACAACTTCTTGGCTGTCATTTTTTGAGGACACCATACAGAATTTCACCCCTTTTTCTGAGCAGCAGCTGACTTGCCACCAGACACAGTTTCTGCTTAACAGTCCTTGTTTTTCTTACCCTGAAAAAAGTCATGCAAGATTCAGGCGAATGATTAAGTGGGACCATGTTTTTTTTTATTTTCTCCTGCAGCCTAGACTGTCACATTTTTTAATGACGTCTTTATAAATGCCGCGCACTTTAGTGCTATATGTTACCTACCAGATATTGAATGCAATGTACAAAAGCAGAATACCAAAGCACTTGTGACACCAGCGTGCCTATAAATACCCGTTTTCTCTCTTTGTTTTCCTTTTTTCATGAAGGTATTTGAATAACTTAAAAATTAAAATTATATTGAACTGTAAATGATCATTCTTACCAGACAGCATGAAAAGGGTACTTCTTATCCTTTCTACTACTGTGTGCTTTTCTGTCTCATGAGCACATCTCCTTTAATTTATCTGTTATAAATCCTGGTATGTGTATTCATTATGGACTTAGGGATTGTTTGTGCAAATGAGTTATGATTCCCTTGGAAAAACAAAACCAAAACAAGACACCAATCAAACACATGGGCACAGCTCAAACAGATAAGTAATGCTGGATTCACTCCAGAGGCTTTTGCTCTGTGTTAGGACAAGTTAACCCAGTAGCTGCTCCCTGTTCTATGTTGCTCAGGACGAGAAGCTGTGAGTGCTCCTTCTTGCAGGTGTTGCCTTGTGAATGGCTGATGATTCCATTTCAACCCATAAATTTGATATGCACTTCGCCTGCATGCTGAATTACATAAATTGAAAAGCACTGCATGACTTACAACTCCTAACAGAATAATTATTCAAAGGATGCAAGAGAAGTTGAGGTTGAGAGTATGTGTACCAGAGCAAAGATGTACATTTTTATCTCAGAAATTAAAGAGAACCTAAGGAAATAGCACTAGAGACATTTACGTCTTTCTATCTACCCAGCAGTCGGACACAATTTCAGTTCTTGTGCTAAAATTATCCGTTTCCTTACTCCAAACCAGGAATTCCACAGAAACCAGATGAATATAGCATTTTAAGTGTTTAAAGAAAGGAAAACAGACCCATGCAAGCATGGCAGAGAATATAAATCAACTCTGAAGACCATGGAAGAAGCTGCATCATGATTCCACTCATGCCACTAAGGTGAGATCTCTCATGTAGTGATTGGGAATTGTGTCTGAGGGTGCTGAAAGTCTGATTCCCCCAGCAAGTCCTCTAATGGCTGACGATTAGGCAAGAGGTGGACAATAACCATCTCTGCTGGTTTGCATTTTTGACTGGAACTAGCTCTGTGCTGAACTCAGTAAGCTCCATCTATGCTAAAGGTGCAGCTGCCTTCATAAAACCATTCCACGTAGGATTAAAGCAGCGTCACAAAGATGGTAGGTGTCTGCATATGCTCAGATGATGAGAGGTGATGAATGGTTTACATGGATTTGCTTTTTTAGAACATAGCACCTAAACCCCACCTAGATCATACTCTACTACCAATACATACATATGCATACCTATAGGATCTAGGCTTTAGCTCAGATATTTTAGGCAAGAATTTATATTAAATGTCATGCTGGTATTTACTGTAAGAGTCATCTCTGGACTTAAATTCTATGGTAGCTATTGACTAGGCTGTTCTTCGGGATTGTGGGGAGAAGGAAGACAACACTGAAATGTGAGAGCTAACTTTTAAAACCAAAAAGAATCCAGATACTGGGAAATTCAGCTGACAAGCTTTCCCCTTCATTATATGGGGTTGTAAAAGGACATTTCTCACAAGTTCCCCAGCTTTCATGGAAAATTGTGAAGGGATTAATACTACCTACTGAGATCACATCATGCTATACTTTATCCCAAATCTAAGAGTATTTGCCCTAACAGGCTACTACTTAAGAAACGGACTTTGTTATATATGTATAGATAAGTTTCATGAAAGAATAAAATTTTACACTGCCTTAGGAACACTGTACCTAGGAAATACTACATAGAATTCCTCCTTGTGCTATTTTGAGCACATTCTTAGAGGCTTCTTTCGTGTCCCCTGCCTTTTGATATATGGTCCCAAGCTACTAACAAACTAAATATCAAAATGTTAGTCATACAGCGTTACCGCAACAGGAAAGCTACAATTCAATGGAATTTTAGAAATACTTATCAATAAAATAAAAAAAAAAATCTCTAAATCTCAGTGATGCTAAATAATCCTGCCAGCCTTTGTAGACAGATTGGTCTGTCCTATTCTGCTCCCGGCACTTCAGCGCACAAGAGTTCACCATACTCAAATTGCAAATGAGTGGCATAAACGTTAAAAATGTTTCTGCACGTTATTTTTGTTGGCATCAGTCTCAGCAACGTTTTGGAGATGGAAGAGCTTTCGCAAGCCTCAGTGGACTGCAAGAAAATATGCATTTCCCCAGTTTGACTGCCAGAATGGAGAATTAGCTTTATTCAAGTCCTTGATCTTTTCCCTGCAATCCTAGTTGGCCCGACTAGGGATCTGGCCCTTAACAGACCACTGAGTACCGCTGCAACCATCCTCTTTATAATCCCAGATGCTCACCAGCATGCTACATGTTTGTCCCTGGCAAGCTGGAAGAGATTTTTCTAAAGGCTTCACGAGACGCTTGTTGCAAGTGCTAACCAGGCAACACTGTGGAAGAAGCTGCCGTGGGCAAAATACACAACTGAGCCCCAGTGCATGCAGAGATACTGTCCACGGGTAATGGCCTTCTGTATAACGCAGCATAGAAAACAAACTGGATCAGCTACCTAAGCAACAGCTGTGAAATTAAGCAGAGGACTGCTTAGAGCTCTGAGCTACTGGTGCTACACCAGAGCAGAAAACTTGGAAGTCAGCTTATACTCTAAGAGGACTTGTGTGTTGTAGGCATGTTTGGTTAATCAACATTTGTCTGTACTCTCTAATCTAGGGCAATTTCTTTAGGCTGAGGAGCCCACGTCTGCATTTTTTGGCATACTGAAGCCTCCCGCTGACAGCCAGGAGGGCCATTAGGTACAACACACATGAAGATTGAAGCATTTTATTCCTTCAGGAATGGTGCTGCCAATTGCAGTGCTAGGAATACAAAACCATCTCAGAATTCAAAGTTTGTCTCAAAGACAGGCCAAAACAACTTTCTAGGAAAACAGATGTGACAGTTACCATTCTGTGTTGCTTTCCAGGGCCTGCTGGTGTAGCCAGCTAACAGCACCAAGATGTACAGAATTGCCCACGGCAGAGTCAGTGACACACTTCTGACACGACCTACTGTTCAAAGAGCCTCACAAACAGAGACTTGATCATCAAAATGATTTCTCCTTCATTCCATAAAAAGAATCATTAGTAACTCCATTGCTGTGAGGAAAAGATGAAACCTGAACAGCTTTTTGAGCCAGCTTCTTTGTTTTAAACACAATTAGTGTCCTAAGACTAATTCATGCAACTGCAGCTGCAGCGATGATCTATTTTTTTTTTTCCACCTGAGAAAAACTTACACTGAAATGTGGAATAAAGCTATGTCAAAGGTAAAACAAAGAAACCATCATAGCCAATGCTGGCCAAGAAAATAAGATCCAGCACTGCAATCCTGTGTACTGTTGAACCACTCACTCTGTAGTTTTAACATTTTCAGCTTCTGCAGATTATTTCTTTGTAAACTCAGATGTCTGCTGGGACTGGGAGTAGAAGAAAAGTTGTGATTAAACTGTTCTTCTGTCCAGTCCCATTCCTTGGATAATCAGATGAAAATAAAGGATGAAATAAACTATGAATTCTCTCTTCCAGCAGTCTTCCAGTGTGGTTAATCTGTAGCAACAGAACTGTCCATTTCTTCCAGGCAGATAAAATATAAAATATGCAGTAATGCTTAGAGCAGTTGCTAATTATTTAACAGAGGGATTTTCCACAGAAAACACATTTAAAAATTGAAAAGTTTCACTACTCCTGACCAGAACATTTAAAATAGATTTTTATCAATGATATTTTGAAACTGCGAACTGCAACTGACCCCATCTTGCAGCCTGAATTGAGCTGAATCCTACACACTGTTACAGACTCTTCTGCAAAATGTGTTCTTAACCGAGAAAAAAAAAAAATAAATAATGGTATCACGTATCACTAACCTGAAGCAGGAATGATTTCCGAAGACTGGCCAGGAAGAGGCAGTGTCAAGACCAGGAAGGGATTTCCAGTTCTGCCTTGTCTGAACTTCAGTTACTCACAGGTCTCCTAGTTTCTCCGTGACACAGTACGCTCAGCCTTAGCAGCAGTCCTTGTACACTGTGAAACTCTGGAGCTGAGGTGCTGCAACACACAGCAATTTCAAGTAAGTGTCATTTACAGCAACATTTTATTGTTCATCATTTAACATCCCCTTTCCTTAAGCATCCTAAAATTTGGGGTTTACTTTTTCTTTTTCAGTGGAGCTGCACACATCACTTTATCATCCAGCTGTCCCTATGTCCCTCTTTTGAGCTATGTCACCACTTTAACACCATCCATCCATCTTCCCCTGCAGTGTGTGCTCCTTTCCTAGGGGCTGCAGATTTCACCTGCCATTAATTTTGTTCATTCATGATTGTTGTTTAGGAGAAAAAAAGGACTATGAGGAAATGTTGAAATCACTACTTGCCTTCTTTCTCCAGACCTTTCTTAAAGAGATATGTAGGACTGAAAATGAGGAGGGGTCAGGGATTGCAGTCCCCCAGGGTCACATGAAAAGGACTAGAAAAAATTGTTGATCAAAAATTGAACTGATTAAGAGTTTGATTAGCCTAAAAAAAAAAAGAGAAGACTGAGGATACATATGATGACTGTCTTCAAAATATGTAAATTCAATGTTGAGGAAGGGACAACCTGTCCTCTACATGAATGGGCAAAAAGTAATGGGGCTAATCTGCACTTGAGTTTCTAATTGGAGGCAACAGAAAAGTGTCCTAAGCTAAGGAAAGTAGAGCACTGGAAGAGATGGCTGGGGAGGTTATAAAGTTCTGTTCCTGAAGGTCTTTGGATAACTTGGATATTCATCAGGAAAGCAATGGGGAGATTAGATCCTGCTTTATGGCCATGAAATCATGCAATGAACCAGATGAACTCTTCAAAATCCTTTCTGCCCCTACAACTATGCCATAGGTATGAAGTCTAGAAAGATCCACTCATCTTTCCCTCTTCCATTCACATACATTAAAAAATATCTCCCACTCAACAAGCTTAAGGTTTATACTACTTCAGGCTGAGAGCTCCTTCCATTCCAACGGTTCCTACCCCTAAAATACCCATGTTCATTTTACAAAGCAAAACACATTCCATCCTGCAGAGGAGGGTGAGTGCCTCCCCCTTCCCTTTTTCCCCCCTCAAAATTCCCCCAATTCTTCTCAACTCAAATCTGATCATAAGATTAGTTCCAAGAACGTGAGCAAGATGCATGAGTCAGGAACAGGACCACCACAACGCCTCTGCCCAGCTTCTCATCTTTTGCTAATGCTGATCTGACATTTCAGAGAAAAGTGACACTTCCAAATCACCAGAGGTCATGCAGCCAGGGACCATGTGGAGAAAATTCAATCAAAACAACAAAAAATTATTATTTCTTGAGCCTTGCAGGCAACTGACAGAAAGTCTGGAGTGTGGGATTAATGGACAAATACAATACGTAAACAACATTCTGAGTGTAGTGAGTTCATCTTTATTCCAAGCAGCTTTCCAAATAGGGCGGGAAGTGCAAGGAAACGCCAATGGGACTGAAAAGACATATGGAGTCAGTTCCTGAAAGGGGCTCTCACATCCTTCCATCTGACTCTTGGTGAAAGAAATTCATTAAATAAAGATCAAATTCACCCTGAGGACCCCAATGCATGACAAGCCTTTCCTTCCTCTCACAGAAGCCACCTCTATGGTCAGCCTTCCCATGCTGTTTCCTACCTCTGCTACCTTACCCTGCCATAGTGAAGAGCTATCATTTCAATGACAGCCCCTTCATATGTGACAGTAAGGGCTTTTCATCCTTCCTTGGGGATACCAACTCCCCACTCCAGCTTTAATTGCTAAGCCCTAGGTCAAACCTGCTCTCATACTAATTGTTACTGTGAATCTATGAAGCTCCACCATGAAATAGTGTAGGCTGTTAGCTCCTGCTGGCCTGTCTCGGAGGCTGTGAGACCTTTAGTCCCCTGGTTGTCACCAAACTCCTTCCTCCTGGTTTCTAGTCCCAATTTCCTCAGGACAAATCTCCTCTGGCACCAACAACATTCAGCTTGGTGATACCCTGTGCGTTCGTCTCACTGCACCACAGCATTGCTCTTATGGAACCACTTCCACAGCTCACCATACCATACGTCCTTCTCCGGCCACAAATCCAGACATGCATCTTTAGGCCATCAAAATGCCTGTAGTTGCAGACCAAAAATCTCTAGTCACAGCACACATCCACCTGCAAACTGAGGAAAGCTTGCAGCCTGTTACCCAATGTTTATTTGTGCTCCCATCATCTAACAAGTGATATGTCATTGTATGATGGGAGATGCCTACATTTTGTTCCACATCATAGGTAAACCTGGGTCACAAAAGAGAGAGCTGTGCTACCATGAGGGTGTCAGGCTGCAGGCAGGATGATTACACGCCTCAGGTCAAACAACTCTAATCCCACTTTACAGCATTTATTAGGCTAAATAAGATGAGCTGCAGGACAGGTCTCCAGCATATTGAAGTGCAGAACACATCACAAGACATTTTCTGCCAAGACAAACCAGTGTATTTGGATCTTGTTTTCGCTTATCTTCTTCTGTTGTAACATAACACCATTTCAACTCCATCTGTGATTGCTGTGCCGGGAAGACAATAAAAAACAGAACACATGCAGCTAGGAGGATCTATCAAGTTTTAGCCCCTAGAAGTCTGTGACTCACAAAACAGGATCTGCCATTAACAGGAATCAGAAACACAAGAGGAAGATTGGCCAGGTGGCTGCACTCTACCATGGGTATGCTTCATAGCCTTAATGTGCACCTTTAAGCCAGCATCATCACTTGAGGATTTCCCGCCTGTGGCACTCCTGTAGGATTAAAACCAGGCAACCCTGGGACACCAAGGGGGGCAAAGCACACCTTATCTAAGGCACGATCAAGGGATGAAATTCAACGCAGTTGATTGCCTTTGCAGTATCACCGAGGCCAAGGGGAGGCAGTGGATGCCAATCAGAGCGGCGCAGAAAGGTACTGTGAGGTAACCCCTCCCCCTGAACACAACTATTCTTAATGCAGACGGCAGCCCCTTTGCCTTCTCTTTAAGGGACTGCTTAACATGAAACTCGCACAACTAGCCAGCACACCTGCCTACGCCCAGTCCCAGCGTGCGCCCCGAAATTAACCCATAGATTCCAGGACGGCCACCGGGACAAACCCTACCGCTCCGAGTGAGCGGAGAAGAAGAAGGGGGGAACTACCGGATCCCGTAACGCGGGGATGTTTCGGCAGGTAGGCCGGGGCCACTCCCGCTCACCTCCCCTCAGAGGCAGAGGCCGCCCCGTGACTAACGCGGCCTGACAGGCGCGGCCGCCGCGCTCGCCTCAGCGCTCAGCGCCCACCGCCCCTCTCCCCCCGCCAACCGCCGCCCGCGCTGACATCACCGAGCTGGATTTAAATAGCTCCGCAGCCCACCGGCCTCCCGGATACAGCGCTCCCCATTGGCGGCGGCGCCAGCCAATAGCCGCGCTCGCCCCGTTCCCCTCCGCCAATGGCGAGGCCGCCGCCGCCGGGCGCCTCCCCTGTCGCTAAGGGAGGGAAATACAGCGCGGGGCGGCGGGCTGTCAGGTGCGCTGCGCCGTGCCCGGCTGCGCCCCGCCGCCCGGGGACGGGGATCGGCACCGGGGGCTGGGTGGGAGGACGGGGTGAGGAGTAAACGCACCTGGGCAGTGGTGTCGGGGGGGACGGAGAGGGGCCGGGTGCCCCCGCAGGCTGCCAGAGGCCGTGGATGTTTGCTCCCCGCCGAGCTGCAATGGACGCTGCCCGCCGCCGGCCGCTGAGCGGAGCCGCCCCGCCGCCGCCGCCGCCGCCGCTGCCGCTGAGGGAGAGCTGCTCGCCAGGAGCCGGCCCTCGCCCGGCGCCCGAGAGGGACGGGGGTTTTTCCTCTTCGGCAACGCTCCGCTGCCGCCGGCCGCCCAGATAAGGGGGCATTGGCAGCCACGGCTCGAGCAAAATAGGTAAACGCCACTGTGTAGATGTGCTGTCTGGAGAGGAAAAATAAAATAAATAAATAAATAAATAAATTCTAATAGTAAAAAAAAAAATAAAATAGGAGGATGCGGATGTTGGGCCTGGCACAGGGGAGGTGTAATGGCCTCTTCTGCTTTGCGAGATGCAGCCCGAGGAGAGCGCAAGCCCGGCGTGAGGCGGGATGGATGGAGACCTGCGATACCCCCCCCCCCTTTCCCAAATTTTCCCGGGTCTGTCCCCGCCATGCCGCAGCCTGTCACCACAGGGCCTGTCCTGAGCGCAGCCTCTCCTCTCTACCAGCTCTGGTACTTAAGAGCTGCCACAGCGTTGTGGAACAAACAGGAATCAGTTAACGCTCCAAACTCAAAAAAATTTAACTCGTTTCACTTGCTACCAAGGCTACGAGCTTGAAAGGAGAATATAGAAACCTGCTTTGCCGTCAGGCCGTGATAGCATCGGTTAGAACATTTCTGCTTGGGTGCTGTTTACTGCTTCACACCCTCCCAAATATTTCTGACTTGTTTTTTACCCCTATCCACAACGTGTTAAAACGTTGCCTGAATATCCTAAAGATGTCGGTGTGCGTACTCAAAAGGCAACTGTGTGTGGAAGAACTGTAGGCAAAACACAGAGCAGGGTTGAGATACTTCTTTGGATTTAATGTCGGTGTCTGGCTCTTGCCTGCGATGTAGAGCAGGGTGATGAACTTTCTGCCTTGCTGCTTTTCTTCCCCTCTTCCCCGTTCATCCCCAAATTAAGAACAAAACTTGATGTCACAGCTTTGCTGGGGAGTTATTATTATTTTTTTAAGATAAAGAATTCTTATGCAACATGAAATATTAATTATTGTAGGAGAAGCTGCAAATACTTACTGTAGAGGACCTGGAAAAAGTAAAAATAAAAATCAAAAGAATACTTCATCCTTCCCTGAAGCAAAACCTACCGAGTTATCAGCAATCTGAGGTGCATGCCTGTTTATGGCTTTATGATATGATGAAGTTTGTGCCAAGGTTTCTTTCCTTTCGGGAGAGGGGAGCCTGTAATAAGAAATCCTTTCCCCTCTATGTTTCTGCTTCCTCCTTTTCCTTACCTTGTCCCTGTCCGTGAAGGATAAGGAGGACTGTGAAGCCTTGTTTCCCCTTCTGTTGTTGCAGGACTCCTTGGATGAAACCAAAATAAGCGCCGGGAGCATTTGGTGATGTACGTGGGAGGAAGGCACAAGCCACCAAGGCCCCGTTCCCTCCATCTTGAGCCTTCCGTGGTGATTTGCAGCAGCACAGGGAAGTATGAAGCACTGAGGGACTGAAGTCAGTATTTAAACGGGACTTCAGTGTAAATGTCTATCCCAGGTTCACATCAACAGAGGACGAGGGGTAGAATAGCAGGAATACTTAAGGTGCCTATTTTAAAAGTTCTCTTTTGGGTATTTTAAGATTAAGGAGATATTTAGAAAATATGACTCTCCACATGTGTTTATGTTTACGTGTCCTAATAGAAGATGACTGTCCGCATTATCTTACACGCTGGATACCTCTTGGGTCAATCTGTATCACCTTAGTGATTTCAGGGGAGCTGTATTGATTTAAGTTAGTTAAAGAACTCACCCGGTTAAGTTTTAAATAATTGGAATGATACTCTCCCTCTTTTTCAGTCAGATTTGCCCTTCATGTTACTTGTGTTTCATAATCCTCCTAGCTCTCCATTTCATCATTACAAGACCAGCATCTCTATCGCAAAAAAAGAGGAGAAAAAATACCCCTTAAAAGATAGTCTTTTTACAATCAGATTTTCAGATTTCAGCAATTATTTTCATGTTTAAATAAATTTAGGGCACAAGCTCATCCTATTTTTTTTAATAGGCCAATTTAGTTTCATTTACTTACACAGGCATTTTTTTAAAGCTAGAAGCTCTCAGGAAGAGAATGTGTTCGATGCACCAGAACCCTTTAGGGTTTTGATAAAAGACATTATATCATGAGTAACATCTCCAGTTCTGTTATTCTTCTTATGTAGTAGCGACAAGATTGAATCACCATTTTTAGCTATTCTTCAGCAGAACTCGTAATCTATCAATGTGTCAGCTCAACAGCAGTTTTCTCTTCACACTAATGTGAACCAGAAGGTCCAGCTATCACTGATTTTGACAATTTTATTTTATCTGAGATTGCATGTGTTGCTGAAGTTTGAAGAAAATGAATTATGGAACTTATTATATTTTCCTAAGGATGTACAAAACATAAAATATGTCATCTAAAACATTTTAAACTCATTTGTACTGGATAACATTCCTAAGTTAGGTGTTTCATAAGCCTTAAGCTATAAGCACTAGAAAATATTCGTGTGCTAAGTAACAAGTATAAGATCAAATGTGGGGCCCATATTTTTTGAATGCCTCAGATTGCCCTCTGTGTTGTTACATAATGCATCATAAAGAAATACGTGCCTTCATTCTCTTTAAATCACTCCAGCATGGATAGTACTAAGCCTTCCTTCAAGTCCTCGTTATGCAAGTCCTTGCTACTGTTAATAGCTGTCACTTTGGCATGGTTACTTAAAAAACAAGGTAACCGCAGAGTTTTTGTGAAGCTCCTTGCATTTCTGGAATTTACAATGAGTCAGTTCCAGGTGCTTTGCTCCATTTCTTAACTATAAACCAAATTATTATAAGCAAACCAGGATTTTTTCCCCATTCCATTCCACTGTATCACAAGGTAATCAGTTTTTTTGTTTAGTTGCTTCTGCAAGCATATATTATGGGTATCTGAATGCACTTCTCCAGTGTCAAAATACAGTGGAATAGACCAGAATAGAGTAATATTTTGAATGTCTGTTGAAAAATGCAGGCATATAACTACGTACTAAAAAATGCATAGAATAGGAAAAATCCATGACCAATCTAGCAAAGCTATTGGATAACAAAAAATCCATATAGGCATTAAGTACTATTATTTAAAGTAAAAATCTGTGTTACACAGTATAAGCAGCATTCAAGTGAAATTGATGAGACATCTGTATAGAACAGAAAGAATAATTTTTTAAAGCTATGATATTATGACGTTTGTATTTCTTTACTTGGGAAGTGGAATTTTCCTTGTCTTTTCATAAAGGCATAAAATTAACAACAAGCCCTTCAGAGAATTAGGTGCACTGCCTGGTTTGTGGTTTTTTTCCTTTACTGAACATAGAGATCGTTGGTGGAAAAAAATGCGGAGGAACCTATCTGGGTTTTCCCATATCATGGAGAGCTTTCCACGGAGCCTGTCCTTTAGTAAGGCCTCGGTTTTAAAGATACTGAAATAGGAATATCTCAAAATTCATAATACTGACTATATAAAGAAACATTTTGCTCTCAGTTTATGCTTGTAGAAGTATACAAGTAGTAACTCGGTGATGTATCACCAGAAAAAGGAGGGTTTTGTTTCATATTCTATGAGTAGATCTATTAGTGTAACAAACCTTTATGGCATTTTTACTTTTTTTTTTTTTACCTTTTTGTTGCTCTTATAAATTTGGGGTGCTGGCTTATTTGTTTACTTCCCTTCTCCTACTATTAATTCTTTTCAAAGGTTCAACTATATTCTGTTCGGGTTTTGGTACAGCACATGGAAAATATTTTCTTCATTCCTTTTGCAAGCAGTAGGTTGGTGGGAGGAGGTCTGCACTGTAAAATAGTATACCTACTAAATTGTACTCCAGTGGGAGATTAAATAAGAAAGAGCAGAATGGCTGAGACAAGTCATTCGTCACAGATGTTCATGCAGTTCTGTGTTTTGTTTTAAGCTGGATTCATCAAACACGATAAGGAGTAATTTCTGTCTAATATGAAGTTCCCATCCAAGGAGACTAAGTGGGTTAAGTTTAAACGGTGGTTTGAAAATAGGGGGAAATGGTACTGGGCTCTTGATGGCTTGATTCGGTAGCCAAAGTGGACACAAGGAATTAAATTGGAGAATGCTATTTTTGCGGTGTCTAAAATATGTCAATTCAGAAGTAAGAAGGAAAATGCATCACAAATATATTACTATGGAGCAGAGTTACTTTAGCTACAAGATGCTTCTGCCTATAAAGCGCAAAGATTTTACCATAGAAGTCTGAATACGTAGATTATAAAGGGTACCGACGCTGTCGGAGAGCAGGCATGAAATGTTGATGTGATAACGTCTCATATTTAAGTGGCATTTACTGACTGCTTTTACATTCTAAAATAAGTTTAGTAATAAAACTTAGTGAAAATGTACAAGATAAGCACTAGTGTAATATTTATTTCAGGTTTTTTTTAGATAGACTGATTAACATATTTAATAAAGTAGAATACGAATGAGAAGGCCCAGGACTAAGGTTACTTTAAAAGGGGAATTTTAAAAAATGAGTATCAGACTGATTCTTAGTTTTTATTAGTTACTATCTCTTTTAATATATTTTTCCCTTTTGTAAGTCCTTATCTGTCACTATTCCTTCAGAAATACTGTGCCCCTGCCCCAAAAGGGAGAAATATAATGTCTGCAATTAGCTTCTGTTTACTGGAGCAAAATGATTTTTTCCCAAACTGAAATATATGCATTAATTTCCTAGATTTCCAGCTATTTTTACCTATGTTATAAGTGATAAATGGGTAGTGGTGTCCATTTTAATGCAGCTTACTGCAGTATAGCAGCTGTAATCTAGCGTTTTTCTCTTTGGAAGTCAGATACGCAGAATTGTCAGCCTGTTTGCTTTTAAGAACCTGAAAACTGAATTGGAAAAAAATATTTTTGATAGAATAAGTTTGGCTTTTCAGTCTGTACTTCCTTTTGAGTTTTCTAAGTAAACGCTACATAGACTGATTATCAGAAAAATCGAGGCTTACATAATCAAGCCATACATTTTTCTACTGCCTCCCTTCCCCCACATAGCTTTCATTTTACTCTGAGAAATTTTTAATAGAAAATTACTATGGGATGCTGATTATATACACATTTCCATGAGACTGCATAGCTAAGCTATTTATATGTATTTAGTAAAAGAAAGCAATAAACAAAATTTTAGAACCTTGAGATGGCTAAACTTTAAAATTACAGTAATCATTAAGTACAGCTTTGTACCTAGCTGTGTAGCATGGAGTCTTTTTTCTTTGCATGGGGAATTTGGGTACTTCTCTGTGTTCCTCATTCAGAATAAGAAAAATGAGAACGTCGTACCCCATTTTTTTTAACTCGTCGCAAAGCCGATGCTCCTTCATGAGGCAGGCAGTTTTAATACCCAGCTTCCAGAGGGTGAGCAGTGATTGTCGTTGGCAAAATATATAGCAAATGAATCAAAACTCTGTCCTGCTAGAATAATTACAAATTGAATTAATTACCAAGAATGATATTAAAATTTTATCAAAATATGCTAACATGAACTCTTACCCATAGGTGGCAGTCAGCTTTCACTGTAGTAGGGATGCCAAACTTTTGCTTCGTGGTATTCATACTTATGCTGGAATAATGTTGATGGCTCTGCATATGTGCGTGTACATAAGTATATACATACCTGCGTGTTGGGAGAGGTGGAAGGAGGTAAAATTTACCCTAAAATAAATTAGTAATTAAGAGGATTCTGAATTGCTATATATAAGCAAAAGAAATTATCTTATTCTGGAGCAAAGGCCCAGGTATTAATTTTTAAAACCACACAAATAATTTTTTATCTGTCCATTGCTGATGCTCATATAAAATAAGAAGTGATAATTCAGAAATGTGCTGGTGCCCCTAGAAACTGAGCAGAGAGGGAAGTATCTCACCAGCCTTAGAGAACATGACCCCGTACCGTCCCCAATCCTCCAAATTGCATTTCTATTTTGTCACCCCTTATCTGTAAATTACAGAAGAGCCGCAGTGACGACACTCTGCCCTGGGAACCCCAGCAATAAGCTCCCTTAAACATCAAGCTCATACAGAAGAGGTGCTCGGGGTGAGGGTGTCCTTTCAGCCACGGAGAGCGAGCAAAACCCGTGGGGCTGGGGTTCTCCTCCTCTATGCAGAGCTGCCATCGACATCTGTGGCAGTGCCACGCAAGGGGAGGACGCTGCCTGCCAGAGCAGAGATCCGCTCCATTTCGCCCTCAGCTTTTTGGGGGCTTTCCGAGGTTTATGGGGATTTCCTTTTGCAATATCGCTAAGGAGGCACTTGGGACCCCACCAAAACTGGAGGGGATAGAAGGAGCTAATGAGGCCAAGTCATCTCAGCCTAAAACAAACAGAACTTGTGAAACTGCACACATGACATACTAAGACGATAGAGCTCTTACAGGGAAATAAGACCGAAAACTGAAATTCATGAGTGAGTAAAGTCATATTCTTTTTACTATTATAGCCACACCGGGAGTCTTTTCAGTTAAGGTTAATTTAATATAGTGTCAAGGTAGGCTGTTTAGCAGAGGTCAGGAACTAGCATTTTACAAAATGGAAAATTGGAAAAATACACAATTATGTGTTGCTACTCCAATGTTTCGCTGTGATGCAAGATTAAGGGCTCAGAATAGAGTGGAATGGCGCAGTATTATTAAAACAGAAGGCCTAATTCTCCTTATGCAAGAGTCGCAGCAACACACATAGTTGTATAAGCCAGAGCAGTCAGTATGATTTCATAGTCAAAGAGAGTATTTCCACATACACTCCACCACGACGTGACTAATTAGATACTTGCATGTACACGGACCCATTTGTTCCCCAACTGTAATAATCAGGAGGATTGCGCTCCACGTTAATTCACACTCTTGTGTAACACTACTGAATACAAGATAGCAGGTGATGATAAACTGGCTGGTGACAAACATGTAAATTTTATGTGAATTTTGAAAACCAAGGCTTTCATAGTCAGCTCTGACGGTGACGTAGGCAAGACTGGAGAAGACCTCCTCAGCCCTGGGGCCAGCCATCGCATCTGTGCCCCAGCTATTGCAGGCAGCCCTGTTGCACTATTCAACTGATTTGCAGAGATATCAGGTGCCATCTTGAAGGTACTCACCCATGTCATGAGGTTGCTCCTTATTTTCTCTTCCTCTGAATGGTTAAAGATTTCAGATGATGTGTATTCAGCACCAGATTTCACCATATTCAACATTCTCATGTTCTGTGGGGTCTTTGACTTCAGTTTAAAGAGCATTTCTCTCTCACGGTGTAATCACAGAATAGCAGGGGTTGGAAGGGACCTTTGGAGATCATCTAGTCCAACTCACCTGCCAAAGCAGGGTCACCCAGAGCGGGTTGGACAGGAACGCATCCAGGCAGGTTTTTAATATCTCCAGAGAAGGAGATTCCACCATCTCACCAGGCAGCCTGTTCCAGCGCTCTGCCACCCTGAAAGTAAAAAAATTTTTTCTCATAAAGTCCCTTTCAATCTGTCACCCCTTGAGCTTTTGTAGGTTCCTGCCAAAACCTGCTCCTCCATGGTTCAGCCAAAGCAGCTGTGCTACACCTGTCACAGAGAAGGATGCCTTTCCCCACCATTCCTTTAGCCCTCCTTTGTATCTTTTCCATTTCCAGTAGATCTCTTTTAACATGCAGGTTTAGAAGTAGACACAGTTCTTCAAATAATATGTCATCAGGGCCTCTTGTGGTGGCATGAATACCTTCCTATCCCTGCTAGATATACAGCAACTATTATTTTGATATCTTTTAACTTTTATATTCAGAGCTACCTGCTATCAACATCTCACAAGCCTTGAGGACTGCCCGAAGCACCCAACATACCCTTTTTTTATGGGTGCTGATAGCAAAAGTTCTTGTTGTTCGTTCCTGGTTTATGACTGTGAACTTTGCACTGTTATAGTGGTATTGCATGGCAAGGGTGTCAAAAGGCTTTTTATAAGAAGAGTGTCATCAGTTTCATCCAAGCCACGGGCTTCCCCTGAGTTTCCTGGCATGTCCAGATTTGTTCAGGAATCTCTACGCTTTTGCACGACTATAGACGTGAGCTGGCACATGCACGTGACACGGCGCAGGGCTCTGCAGGTGAGCTACCTTGGCTCGTGGGACAGAGGTGTCTCCAGTATTACCTTACCCCAGGCACATCGTGGTATGTTATTTCAGGTTAGCCTTCAGGAAGTCACGCAGTGCTTGTGACTCCATATCCTGCACTGGCCTCACTTGACAGCTCTGGGAGCAAGAGACCAAATTCTGAAATATTTTTCCAGGATCAACAGAGGAGAAGGATTGAGTGTCACATTGTATTGTTTCTATTGATCTTGTAGGTTAATCTCCAGCTTACAGGTTATGCCTGTGAGATTGAAGGGAAAGTGGGATGTACAAGCGTTGTGTGGCACTCTTGAATAACATGTTAAAAAAAAACATTTTTTTGTAATAGAAGAATCTGGAGGCCTTTCAGTGGCCGTGTTTCTGGAAGTTAAGAAACATTATGACTGTCTCAAATTAAACAAGCAAAAATCTATTTTTCTTTCTTCTCTTTGTCTTCCATTGGAACTTTCTGTATGAAATTTGTATTGTGGCATTTTTATATAGCAATTTTATTTTATATGTTTTACTTCTGTGCCTGCAGGACAGCTAAGAAACTTGACCACTGTGGATTATCTTTATAATGAAAATACCATCCTGAAGAACTTTCGCTAGGTTTGGTGTATGCCAGCTTCCGGGATACTGGGTCAAGTTCATCATGTAAAATTACTTTTGTCCCCTTCATTATATGATACTTCAGCCCCACTTTGTGCAAACAGTGCCCCAGCTTTGTATCATCATTCCTCGATTAAGGTAGTCAGTGAAAATCACTCATAAGATCTGTCTGGGATCATTCTTTAAGGAAGTCCACTAGCAACTTCCCTCTGGCTTGAGACTTTCCCTTCAAAATTACTTCACAAGTTTTTATTCATTTTAAGAGTTAATTTAGCAATTGTGGTCTTCCCTACTTTTTTTTTTTTTTTCAAGTAGCGTAGTAACAAATGTTTCCCTGAAATCCAATCAGATTAGGTCAGCTCATTTCCTTGATGTAAAATAAAGTAGGGTTTGATGTTTTTTTTAAGTGTCTGGCTAGTGTGCCATAATCTATTCTTAGGAAAGCTTTGTGGTGTTTGTCTTATTTTCTATTTATCCAATTTTATCCTACGCTTCCTTGCATCCAAGTTCTTGGTGGGCAGTCCCAGTTTCTTCCCCTTTTAAACTCTGATTACTTCTAAGTCCTGTATGAAGTGGCTGCTCTTCCACTTGGATTCAAAGACCAACCTGTACAAGTTTTCCCACCCAGAAATTAAAAAAGGCAGAATGAAACTTTTTTTTTTTTTTTTTTGTCATTTCACCTCCATCTAAAGGATTCACGAAGAAGCTCACTCAGAGATGGTGACAAAACATGGATTTTCTTGGAGTCTTCAGCATGTAGCTGGGAAGACCATACACATAAGAGTCTCTACATCCTGCAATTTACCGCTCCACGACATTCCCACTTGGAGGGCTTGTCATTTCTTAAAGTCTTAAAAAGAAAGTGAACATAACTAAACAACTAAACTAAACAGCTTGGTTAAGGTTGCTACAGGTTAAAAGGCATCTTTTAAAAACCTGAAGTTATACCCAAATGAAGAAAACGGAGAAAAACATTTATCTAGCAGATTAGATGTGTAAAAACACAAGTGTATTAAAAAATGAGTTTGAGGGAAAAGCCCAGTGGCTCACATGGCAGAAATCTTTAGCAATGGCTCTAGAGAAAGATACAGGTGACCACGGACCATTAGGCCTGGTGACCAAGCCAGGTGAAGTACAGAAAATAATTAGTGAACAAAAGGGTAACTAAGTGTGACTTTGGGAAAGAAACAGGCAGCTTTTTTGAAAAGAAGCGATGCCCCACGAGTCCCTCTGTACGGGGAGAGATCTGGCCAATACACCCCCAAGGAATAAAAAAAAAAGACATCTGACATCTTTTAGCAAAGACTCTCAGAGAAATTAAGCTGCGCGGGCTTCTCACGTGGACAAATAACACATGAAAGGACGGGAAGGAAAGGACAGAAATGAGTGCTCCCTTGTCGTGGTGGTGGGAGACAAATAGAGCCCCTCGGCCAGCGTTAATTACACAGCGAGCTCAGAAATGTTCTGGGGAGGGACATGAATAAAGGTTGCAGAGATCACTGTCAGCACGGAGACAGGAGGAGGAGGGAGGACACCCCGAAGCTGGGTGAGCGGGCAGCACACCAGCAGACGAACCTGGGTGTAGGTGACTGCAGTGTGTTACTCGGGGGGGGACTGGGGGGTCTCAGCTGGCTGCTACCCCTCCGGAGCAGCCTCCTGGGGCTGTTCGAGACCCTGCTGATGTACTTGGAGACAACACTTCCACGAAAACATCCATGCGCTGCTTGGCAGTGGCTCAAAAAGCAAGCAAAACGTTAGGAATTACAAAGAGAGGGACAGGGAACAAAACAAAACAACACAAAACAAAACAACAAAAAGAAAAACCCCAACCAAAACCAAAACAAACATGATTATGGTGCTGCGTAAAACTTGTCTGCCACTTTCCAAGTCTTGCACATGTTTCTCTGGCCCGGCTGCCTTTAGCTTAAATGCATAGCAACGTGCTTGTTTAAAAAACATTGCAAAATCAAAGCTAGAAAGCCAGTATCAGACAAACAAACAAACCCCACTGTACTAAAAGAAAACAACGGTTTGGTTCATGGGCTTCTCCCCCACGAGGAAAGGCCACAAGGAAATGAAGCACCAGAGGGTAACTGTGGCACTGCTGGAAACACGCTAAGGAGCGGTGGAGGCGAGTATGTAGAATAGTCTGATGATGCTTTCACCCTCATTTGCACATCACTTCCCTTATTTTATCCTTCTAGAGCAAATCTAGTAATAAAGCAGTAAAGAGTGAGCAGGAGAGAGCGTTGTGGCCAGGACGGCAACACACACACAAAGACTGGGAAGAGAGATGTGATGGCAGAGTCTGTTGACATGTTTTCCTAGATGAGGCAACTGGGAATACCTCAGAGATCAGGGTTATTTAATATTTTTATTAATGACCCTGTACCAACAACCTGTGTATGAGCTGTACTGGTGAAATCTGCCAACAAGGCAAGAGCTGGGAGTTCGCGGTGGGTACCTGTTATGGTGGAAGTGACAGGCTGTGTCCACTGCTTTAATAAAAGCAGGTAAAAATGTAATTAAAACCCATTTTTGCATGCTAAGGAACTAGTATGAGGCTCAACTACAGATGGGAGCTTAGGAGTGAGACTCTCCAAGACGTGAGGGTCTGTGAAGGTCACAGGATGACCTTGTGGGGCACAGGAGTGATGCAGTGGGGAAAGAAGCAAACACAAGCGTAGGGCATAACAAGTGCAGATGAGGGATTTCCAGAATGGGTACTGCTTTCCAGACCACATGGCATCTGCGATACCATTCGTGATTCAGGTCACCTGTGCTTGGGGAACGTGAAACGAAACCGGGTGCAGAAAGCTCTTCAGGACAAGATGGAGCTCGTCTGGCAAGAACTGGTTAAAAACGGGTTGCATTCATTAACCAAAGGTGGACGGGGAGGGGATATTTCTTTGGAAGGGCTTGTGATCTCCGACTCCCACGAGTGGAAGTCTGAAGGGGAGGAGGAAGAGGGGCTGGATGCGCTCTCCAGCCCCTCCGCAAGGCACGGAGAGTGACTGTGGGACGGGGTGTTCAGCCCAGGGGTCTGCCCTGTGCGTGATGGATGGCGGCATTTCTCACCACTGCACGGCGGCAGCAAACATTTTTAAGCGTGGCGATCAATTTTGTTCTCCAGCATCTAATTGAACATCAGTAAATATGTTATTAAGATGCTTGACAGTGTGCTCTTCTGCAATCAAGGCCAAGATGTAGCCAGATACTCATCTTAATCTCTCCAGACACATTTCTAATGAATTTTTACGGTGCCTAGAGGAAAGGTCCCTGGTCTGAACTGGGATACCTGGGTGATAAAAGCAAATTATAATTAATAATATATTGTGTTTATGGTGTCAGATTGTCATCTAAAGACAGTGGTAAAATCTTGTAGTATAGGCTACTGCTAGAATCCTATTAATAAAACTGCTTACTTTAAATCACTCCCAAAGCGTAAAGTAGGATGTTTCTTTGTTGACAGTGCTTTCTCTTGAATATTTATATTTAACTCCCTATTTATGATCTATCAAGAAACCACCCAATAGTGATAGCAACTGTATTTTGAAATATTCCGTCGTGTTGCAGTGGTTTTGTTATCATTCTGTCCTATGAAGATACGGATAAACTTCCTTTCTGCTTAGCAGAAATATGGCACAAGGTCAAGGCTCTATACCCAGTGCAGAGCACAACTAGGGAAGAGACCTAGAACTGCTTAGGATTAGTATACTGTCTCCTACACTACTCAGTCCTCTTTTTCTTTAGGTAATCCATCCACACTTTTACAATGGCAACATTTTGATCTTCTGTTTTCTGCTGGCCTGGTGGAGCTTCTTTACTCCTTTTTTTTTTTTTTGAGTAAAATTTACAAATTTTACTCGAAAAAATCTGCTGACTTCTTCCATGTATGAAAGCCAATGCCAGCAGCGCATGCTACACAAACAGATTCTAGTTCTCATTGAAATTCACATTTCTAGTCAATCTAATTTTACTACGAAAGCATTTTGCTTTCCTTTGCCTCCTAGATTTTCTTATTCTTTTTGAACCATTCAAGCAGAAAAGATGGAATCCCTGGCCCCATTGCAGTGCTGGAAAATGTGCGGAGAACTACACTGAAAAGAGGGCCTCAGGTGTTCCAAGCTCAAATGAAAGCTGTTTGGGTCATGTAGTTGGCTTTGAGCAGTCTCGACATTTTAGCTCAGAAAACTACGTAACCAATCTAGAAAAAAAAATCCATTTATCACCTTGTGCAGTGTAATCACAAAGGGTTTGCGTAATAATAATAATAAAAAGACTGAATTATGAATTTTAGTGGTCTGCTTTTTTTTTTTCAATTATATACTTGTTATTTGACATGTATGTGTGAAAGCATACGTATATTTTAGTTTGGGGGCTTATGACATCACTTCTGGAAAAAAAAAAAGTGCAACAGCTTTGCAGACAGTTGTTTAGTATTTCACAAACTCCAAACAGCTCCTCAACAGCAGACCTGAGTTACAAGACACAAAATTTGATTGCATTAAGGTATTTATCAGGAAAGCCTGAAGCAACATATGATGGAATAATTTCTGGTAAATCATTATTATCAGATATGAAGTAAATTTTCCATTCATTAATTACTGCAGTCTTTAGACATTCATCCTTGACCTATAGATTATTTTTCTTTTTTTTTTTTAAGGAGACAGCAGAATGTGTAACCTTTATTGTTGTAATAACATGCCAAAAAATGAAAGGACTCAGTTAAGCAACTGCAATCCAGGTGGCAATATGACAAGTCCATTTGAGCAGCAGATAACTGGAAGAGCACATCTTCTCTGCCATAAACCCTGGCAGAGGTCAAATGCACAAAAGCAGGTGTTGAACCGAAGCACGTGGACCTCCTAATAAACTGGGATTCCTGTGGAGCTTACCCATGCCATGGCCCTTTTCCTTCTGAAGAAAGAAAAATACTCGCGATGTCCCTGTTCTGTCGGAGACCTTAATGGAACTCCCACTGCCAACTGCAAAATCTGGAGGCCTGATTTAAAGGGAGCCACTTTTTAACCTTGGGCCATGGTCGTAGAGATAAGAGCAGAATGGCAGAATATAGCGATCTTCAGGGTGTGTGGCATCATTATCCTCAGACACGGCATAAGCCTGGTACGATCACTCCTACCACATCTTGTTCAAACTTGAACTAAACCTTCTTTAGGGCAGAGAAACGTTTTCAAAATTGCCTGAACGCCATAGCATTTTATAAAGGTATAATTTTCAGCTCTTCATTGACTACCTTTTGGGCAAGTCAGTAGTTTTCTTTCCCTTGATTTATTTGTCTGCATCCTAAGGATAACTGTATTTGCCCACTTGCATGAAATGCTGGAGGGTCCTGCAATTTCTGCAATTTCAGATTGCAGTTTATCTTGATGGGGAGCAGTATCCTCAGATTACAAATATATTCATTTCCTTCCTGGAGTGGGAGGCTTTCAGGAAATAAAAGCCCATTCCTAATCAGGCAGGGAAATGAGGGCATCATGGCATATCTAAAGTGAGACAAAATATTTGCAATTTTAATATGAGGCTCATGTAAGTTTGTTGACTTTGCTTTTTGGAGGACAAGGAAATATGAAAAATGGTAATATTTTTTTTGTCTCGAATTACACGAAATCCTGTTTTGTGTAAGAGTTAAACCAATCCCACTGGGTGTGGATAGCCGGGATTTCAGAAGAGGCCAAGGCCACGTGGAACCAGGATTCATCGGCTGGGCATCACTCAAAGACTGTTCAGTTAAAATCTTTCCATTTCCAGTGACCTTTTATGAATCCAGGTCTCAGCCATCACAGCCAGGGGCCAGACTAACTTTGCCACCCTCTGCACTCGCCCACACCTGCACGATTCCTGGAATGCCAAAACCAACACATCGGTTAACTGCTTTTTAAATGAATAGCCCAGCACTAAGAATTACCTCCCAGGCTAACCATGGTCTGTTGGCAATCCCAACAGATACATCCTTGTTTGGAGCAACCTCTTAGTATTACTCTCAATTTTTTTTAAGTATTCATCCAAGGTTGTAGCTGCTGCTAAAAGCTGTTAGTATAGATTGGATAACAAAAACCTTTGGATTCTTTAAACCTCCGCAGTGCACCCCTGTTCTTCTCTGACCTCCCTTTATATTTGTGGGGTATAAGTACTAGGTCACCTCAGTCTGAACTAGGAACCTGAAGAAGGTCACAGGAGTTGTGCTCCAGAAAGTCCATTTTGTCCTATTGACTAAAGGGAGGCTGCATGGTTTGTGGGATCACGAGTGGTCTGATGTGATACACCACAGGAAGGGACTTCTGTACATTTGATGGTTAAATTCTGCCTCATTTGCACCCATTCTTTCTCACTAGTAAGGGTGGCTCTGCACAGCCATACTTAAAGACGAGTTGTGGTCCATTATCTCAGTATGTTAATGAACTCTGACTTTTTTTTCTATATTTTGTGCCAAAAAAGCTGGGTGTGGGGTTGACTACAAAAGAATCTTGTTCATCAGATTTGCCTTCTGCTCAGGGACACAAGGCGGCTTTCACTGGGTGCAGAACATATTTTATTCATTTCATAGATTTTGGTTTGCACATGATAGAAGTATTTGTTTTGCTGGCTTCTCAAAACTTCTGGAGAAAAACAAAAAGAAAAAAAACAACAACAAAACCAGAAATGTTGCCACGTAAATGCATGTCATTCCAGAAAACAAGCAAACAAACTAAAGAGCCAAGATCTCCAACTCGGTGCCGCTCAGCTGATGTCTTTGTACGAGGAGGGAGCGTAGCCTGGACCTGCTGTAGCTGAAGCACTACAGATGAGAAGTAAAGGCAAGTTTTCCACCAACCAAGGTTTTGTCCACACAGGGTATCTGCTTTCTGTACGCACCCTGGCACCACCTCAGGGATGGGGCAAGGTTTATTTCCCGGCAGCACCCTTTAGGAGCAAGAAAACAGATCTAAGTCTGGAAGAAACAAGGAGAGGAAAGCAGGTAGTATTAACTGCGAGTGACCAGAACAGTCCTTAGGAGGATAATTTTCTCCTTTTAAATCTGGTGCCCATATTAAAATTTCTCCCAACAGCACGTGCACGAGCGATAGTTACTCAGCTGATAACGCAAAGCAACAGTGACCCTGGCACCAATGCCGAGGCAATATTTACAAAAGGATGAACTATTTTCAAACAATGTCTCCAATGTACTAAGCACAAACAGGCTTTTCTTCAACAGGCATGCATGTTGTCTCGTTCCAACGATTTTGTTCATGTAGAAATGTATTCATTGTGGACAATGCAAGGAAAATGTCATTCTCTATTTATATCCCGGTTTCCCTTTGTCCTCTTTACAGTATCTCGGGGCAGTGATGCAGAGCAGAGTCTTGCTCTAAACTCATGCTATTTTCCTCCCCGGCTTCTTCCGAAGCTCTCGCAGACGCAGAGCCGCGGAGTTAAAAGGCTCTCTACGGCAGATTTTTTTCTGAGACACAAAGATGGGTCTCTCTCCCTCCACTTCCCAGCAGAGAAGATCTAAGTCCTGCCTCTTGCTCCATCACTGGGAGTACATAATGGTCTTGGCAGCCGAGGATGTGGTGGTAGCAGCGTTCTGAGCCCTGTAAGTGGATGCACCTGGCACATCAGCCTGAATAGGCGACGTTAAGGCAATTCTCCCCCAGTAATGTATGAAACCATCCACTTCATGAGCAGCCTCTCTGTGATAAAGGCTGCCTTTTTTGTTGACTTGGATAAGTTCCCCAGAATGGTCAAAACAGAATAATGGAGGACTTTGAAAGAAGAGCCTTTGCACAGAAAATAATTAATTTAGCAGCGGAGGGGCAGGGAGAAAGATTTAGTGACACTTGAAAACAAAAAGCAAACCCCCAAGACCTGGGACTAAACTGAAAGCTTGGATGCAGACTCACACTGTGTTTTCATCGTAGAACAAATCACTGCCCTGGAAGCATCTTTCTTGGGCAGGTTGGCCACATTTTTGGGTAGGAATTAGGAACATTATTTTAAGCAATGTTTCAGGGAAAGGCTATTTTGCCTTTCATGTACCGGCTAATTTTCTCCAAGGTGGAAATTTCCACTGCTCTCAAGTACGGCATTCCACTCTGATAGGCTTCAGTTTATTGGTAAACCCATAAGCACCATTTTAGTACCTTTAAGCACATCTTTAAAAAAATCAATTGATACAACTCCTTACTTCTACAATTAAAATCGCTTTAAATCGGAAGCTCAACCTTAAGTGGAGTTTGCCTTTAATAGAGTTCTGCAGTCTGTCCAACTATGTGTATACAAAGAAAATATTCATACAGGCCTCAGATGCAACAGTGAAATGAATATAACACATTCCACATGTTCTAAGAAATTGAAAAACTCGCCTTTCTAAAGAAAGAATATGTGACTGTTTTCCACTGTGAGACTCCTGAGACCTATACACTCACTTGAATGGATCTCCCAGTAAAGAACATCCTTTATACACAGGAGTCACATCCAATTCACTGCCAAGCGTCAAAACATTCACTGATGCTTATAGACTTTGCAAAAACCCCACTTTTTTTCCCCAGATAAAATATCTCAATCAGGTTGAAGCAATTTTGTTCTCTGAAAGAAAAGTTTGAGACTTAATGAATATGACTAAATGAAATTTTTTTAACCACATAATACATTTTAGATAAAGGTTATATATAACACCAAATAAATGAACTCTTCTTGTAATTCGTACTTCTAATAATGCATGATTTCATATGCTTTAGCACATAAAAGATTAGATAGCTTTAAAATTAGAGCAGTCAAACTTTTAGCACAGCATGAGATGAAGATAAGGAGTATTCAGTCACTGAAAACATCTTTCCTTCATCACCGTCTTTCTCATCCTTAAGGAATTTTAAAATTGCAATTGAGCAATTCTTAACTACTGGACAAAAATAACTTCTATTAGCTGAAAAACATTTTAAGATCTTTCAACTTTAGGGTATAGAGATAAACTGTCATGTGGGGGCATGCCTTATCGTTCCCATGAATTGAAGTTTGACAGAGGTTGGTAATTCTGACATTTGGAGAGATGATTAAACCTAAATGATTGAAAGCTATGCATAACCCTCAAGATTAAATGAAGATTAAATGATCATCTATTATGGATGTATGCAATATATAAGATTTCAACAGTTAGCTGGCAGCAATCATTCATTCTCGTTTTTCATTAAATTTTTAGAAAGTAGCATCTCCCAAAGTTAATACTGGCATCTCCAAATAAGGACAGTATTGAAATTCAAATAATTTGGTTGTAATCTAGGTTGGTTTTTGGGG